TTTACCTTTCTACAAAATTTTTTTTTTTTTACCTGATCTATATATATATATATATAATATATATATATATATATATATATATATATATATATATATATATCTTGACCGTTGACCAATGGTCAGTTTCTTTAAAAAAAAAAATGTCAACTATAAATATCACATTCAACCGCTTCAAAAACCACACATTCTCTCCCCAATTCCATTTCAAATTGATTCTAGTTGTGGCAAACAGAAAAAATAAAAATAATAAAAATCAAGCCAAAGAAGCAACCGGCTCATCGAAAACTTACAGTTACACAAACATAAAAGCAACATTTATCCATACAAAACCCAATGAAAACTTACAGTCACACAAACATAAAAGCAAATACATGAATTGGAAGTTATACAAACATGAAATTTTGGAGCGTTTATATTATTTTATAAAATCATGAGATGTAATACATAGGATTTGGAAGTTTAAAGGATCTTGTTCCTACTGCAAAACCCAACAAATCACTCCATTGATCTCCCGAGCTTCCATGTATCCTATAACCTCCATCCATAAGTTCCTGTCTCTTCTCAGATTTATACAAAGTAGCCGGTTTACCTTCATCTGAACTTGCCCTGTTTCATCCATAAAAACATCTTACTTTTCAAGGGTCTTAAATCCAAAAACTAGCAACATATTTTTTTATTATTTGTGTATTATATCATCCTACTTGAAATTCTTTCTATTACAACATTGCTATTTGTCACATAGAACCCTGACTTCAAGAGAATTGACAATTTTTGAAGTTTAAGAAAATTACCTTAAGATAAGGCTTTCATAGTTGGTGTATTCAGCATCGAGAAGATTCTTATCTGTAGATTTCCTTTGGGATTCAGTTCTGCCTGTTAACAAGAAAATCTTAAACCCTAACTGTTGAAGTTCATTGTACAACCTTAAACTTGCTGGTAAGGCAGGAGCCTCTGCTAAATCTACCCACTCATTGAAAGAATCCTCATCAAAGACCTCCGATCTATTTACACAAAAGCAATTTAGTTTATAATCTTAAAGCATTCGTTATTGGAATATTATATTTACACATTAGAATTTAGTTTCAGGTTTATTCATATTACTAAGAAAGTGAATTATTAATTGTGCGTTATCTTAAGGTTTATAACCTATCATCCATATAAGATTTGAAAAACTTGTTAGTTCACTAATATAGGACATATAAGGTATGAAACAAATTGTACTAAGAAAGTATATAATTAATTGTGCATTAAGGTTTAAAATCTATTTCCATAAAAGTTTACGATTTCAAAACTATTAAATTCATGAATATGAAAGCAATTTCAAACTGTATCTTATAGCCCATTAGATACTAATTATAGAAAAAAGAAAGAACATTTGGAAATAACCCTATTGGAGGCAGGTTAAAAGGGTTGAGTCCCCTTTCTACTAGCTGGATTTCAAATGGCCAAGGAGGAGCTTGAAGACCAGTAAAGAGAACTAAAATCAGGCAAAATCAATTGCCAAAATCTGTTCAATCAATGAACTTGACCTCAAACTAGTGGTGGAGAAAATGGATGTAAGACTTCTGACATTAACAAAGGCTAATTTGCATTTTCGATGATTTTGTTAATCATAAGTTCATAATAACAGAAACCACAGAAGTACTACGAAGTATAGCAATCTGAATTTGAATTTCAAAGGTATCAATTTCATCGCAACGATGGTCAAGAGAGAGAGAGAAGAGAGAGAGTAAAATCTACACTAATAATTATCAATATCAATATCGGACGGCTAAAATCGCATCTGGCTTACCCGAATCCGTGAGTCGCATACCAAGGCAGATTCGAGAGCAAAGTCTCATCAACATCAAAGATCCAAGCGTCTTTCCCATCGCCGGCGATGTTCACCGTCTTCGCGTACTCTATAGCGTAATCGGCAATGACTTCCGAATCATACCGATATCGTTCACCATTCAAGTAGTTGTTGACGAAGCTCACGCACTTTTCGGGCACAGTGTACCAGACTCCGGCATCATTGGTTTCAACGGAGAACTTCCAGCTTTCACATAACAAATCCTGATTTCTACGAGAACTGGGGACACCAGAATGGACTGATGATGCTCCTCGATCTTCCGTTGACATACGAATTAAACGTTCCGATAAGGAACTAGTAGCGAATGAGAGGAGGAGGAATGTGACGGTTAACCGGCCAAAGTCCATGACGATTGACGGAGCAAGATGAAGTATTTGGTACTTCGTACTTCCCAGAACTGAGGACACCAGAAGCCATATATGGTGGAATCGTTGAGTAAAGTACAATTTTCGCCCCTTGACTATTCATCAATATACAATTTGGCAATTTGCAATTCATTAGCAAATTATAGGCATTTTCGTTTATAAGGAAGAACAATTTTATGGATGAGTGTTTGTACCGAATCTCCGAATTTGAACCAGAATCGGATGAATTAGGTTATTCAGTTCGGTTTTCGGTTATGTATTTTAAACTTATTCGGTTCTTGAGTATTTAGGTTTGGGGTACCAAAATAACTCTTTAATGGGTTTTAAAGAAACTGAACCGGAAATTGAAATTTCATTTTTTTAATCCTTGGTTTCCCTCTTGATCGATCAAACATAAGCAAACAACATCGCATATTCTCGTTACCCACCCTAGCATCGATTGAAATTTCACACACAAAAAGAAGCTACGAAATCGGAGTCGATCGTCGACCTCCTGGATCTTTACTCCTTGCTGTGATTGATCATCGATTAACATTCTACAATTTATGATGTGATTGATCATCGAACTCCATTCTAGTTTCCAAAAATCGAACTCCGTTCTTCATCTCTAAAGAATCATTCAAGTAATTGAAAATTGGGTTCTAAGTCAAGAAACTCGAGTAAGCATCGTATCTTAATCCACTGCTCATGTTATTCTTTCAATGTGTTATTGTGTTATGTTACTCATTGAAATTTGAATGTTTTATGGTGATGTATAAAAGTTCATTGTTATTCTACCATATTTAAATCATTGTGTTATTGTGCTTTAGATTGATGATGAATGTATCTTGGTTGATAAAACTCAAAATGAAAACAAAGTCGGAACAAGTCAAATGACAAAGAAGAAAAGGAATATAGCAAAAGGGTGGCTTGTTAGGTCGAATTTGATGTAGTTTTGGTTAAGAGTGTTAAACATAGCAAATGCAAACATTGTAGCAGGTTGCTCAAAACCGACTTTGGCGATGGTTGTACTTTTATTATGAATAAACATATTCTAAGATGTAAAAAAAACCCAAAAAAATGTAGAAAAAATATAGAATACCAATCCACTTTAAATTTCAAAAGAAAACAAACAACTTTGTTAAACTTATTTATAGTTAGAGAATTACTGCCCAAGTTTGTAAATAATGAATCATGGAAACATGATGAAAAAAAATATATAAAAAACTTTGCTAAACTAATTTGTAGTTGGAGAATTACCGCTCAAGTTCGTAAAGAATGAACCATTTATTGATTATACTAGTGATTGAACATGAAAATTGTTTTGTCATGTAGAACCACAATTTCAAAATGAGTCTGTGGTTAATTTGTTGAAGAAAAGGATAAGTTGAATAAGTTCTTTAGTAATCCCCTAACAAATGTTCATTTGAGCATTGATTGTTGAATAAGATTATGTCGAAGGTTAAGCTATACGGTGGGCACGACCTACTTTATTAATGAAGATTGGGTCATGTACAAAAGAATTATCAGCTGTAAAACTTTAGATAGTCATAAGGGAGAAGACATTGGGCGCACGTTGTTGACTTGTCTTCAAGAGTGGGTATCAATAATGTAATGACCATAATTGTACACAGTTCTAGTTCAACTGTTAAAGCAATCCAATTTCTAATGAAAAAATTATCAAACTTATACGATGGAGAAAAACAACTACACGTAAGGTGTATGGCTCACATTCTTAACCTTATTGTAACACCCATAAAAATTCAAGTCAATTTAAACTTTTCAAAACATTTAAAAAAACAGTTATTACAAATTTGTTTTCAAAATAGTCTAATATCATAGTCTTCCCAGAAACATCAACAAAACATTAAGAGTTGTACGATCACGCCTTCGCCTTGCCGCAATCCCCTGATGTACCTGAAACAATAAACTGAAACTGTAAGTTCCCCCAAAATACCGATACACTACACTTAACACATATACAAATAACAGCATGTACTGGGTCTACAGCTTTATACAAATGAAATCAAGACCACTAGATCTCATCATTGTGACCAAAATGAACTAAAATTCACTAGTAAGAGATCTAAGATATCAATGATCAAGTTCAAAGCTTTATACCTTCATCAAGCTGAAAATGAGTCCCAAAAGCCAGATCCATAAGCTTCCCCTTGATCCCCATCTTTGCACCAAGCTCCACCTTCTTGAAAATGGACCAAACGCTCCAAAAATGGCTTCCATAAGCTCAAAATGCCACCATGAGTGATTAAGGACGATTTCTAGGGTTTAGAGGAATGGAGGCTGAAGATATTAGGGTTAGGATATGAGATAAGGAGCTTAAATAGGGTTCAATACCCTAAAATAGGGTTCAATACCCTAAAATAGGGTTCTGATCTGACTGGAGTACGCCCAGCGTACTCCTGGGAATCTTCGCGACCATCCTGGTCAGTACGCCCAATGTACTACCTTCTTTACTAGTACGCCCCATGTACTCTTTGTGTACGCCCCGCGTACTCGGCTAAGCCTGAAAACCACAAAACTTCTGAAGGCCATAACTTCTTCGTTATAAACCTGTTTCTGACGATCCTTATATCCACGGAAAGGTAACGAGAAGCCCTATACTTCTATCAAACCAAACCTTTCTTACAACCTTCTGAACAAAAATCCATTTTTCACAAAAGTCCAACTGACACTTCACTGAAATACCCCTAGACTCCAAAACACGAATTGAACACCCGGATCACTTCCAATACATCATCCGCACTCGAATAGGCCTAGAACCTACCTTTTAAAAAGCCCTAAGCTTTATGATGACTGATGATCAGTACACAGCCCCAGACTAGGAGTTGATTCGGAACAGGGTGTTACAACTCTCCCCCACTTAAATTAGATTTCGTCCTCGAAATCCGTTCTTACCTTCCCAGCACATCCAACAATCTGGTCCATACCTCCACAATCTGGACTAAATAAAACCTTCCCAGGGTATCCTGATACCAATCCTAAAAGAACTTACCCACCTAAAAAGGAACGAACCTTAAACCTTCTTGCATAAAAACATCTCCATTCTTCCGAACTCGAAACTTCATACCTCCACAATCCAACAATATGGTCCATACCTCCACAATCTGGACTAAATAAAACCTTGCCAAGGTATTCTGATACCAATCCTAAAAGAAATTACCCACCTAAAAAGGAACGAACCTTAAACCTTCCTGCATAAAAACATCTCCATTCTTCCGAACTCGAAACTTCAAATTGACCTAGCTTCCCGACAATTGCCCACACTGAACCATCATCAAACTTATTTCATAAGAAAACTAGCCTAAAATAGAATACTTTCCACCTGCAATACCTTGAGGCTTCCAAAGAACAAGGTTACTGATCAAATGTGGTTGCAGAATGCTCAACTTGACATGAGGCTCAAATAACCCTTAGAGTAGGAGATTCATTCATGCAATGGTTAGACTCAGACAGGAGCTTCACAACATGGTCAAATCAGCCCCTCTGAGATTATTTAATCCACTGCAAACAACTTAGCATATACCCCGAATCCAGGCAACTCCACACACGAATCCCAAGACATAAACCCACTTCAACTCTTCCTGCTACCATATGCTGCTTCTCAGACGCAACCGATACCTCCCCGGGTACCAACTTGTCTGCCCACTACCCGAAACACCGGACACCTCAGCTTACAAATATCCCAATCCATATTCTTGCTGGAACGAAAAAAACCATGCACTAAACATGTGTGATACCCGAATTGAGATCTTACCCAAAATCGATTTGATACCCACTCATGACCCACATCCATGAATCTCCACATATATCTCACACCAAATCCATAGAATACAGTCCCATAAGCGATTATCACCATGTCGAATCAATTCAACTATCGAGTTGAAATTCTCAAGGTTTGTTAGCCTACCACCTCAACCATACCTCTCCCCTTGAGCCTCCTTGCCTACGACTTACAGTCGGCCTACACCGCGTATCTTGGCCTATTACATAGAGAAGGACTGCCTCAACCCTCTCCAAATGCCATAGACGATCATGAGAAAGGTGTAACCCGTTTCCCAGATCTGAACGATAGAACATTCTAATCCCAAGACTACCTAAAGCTGATGAATACCCATTCGGATCTACTCCCAGTCCCCAACTGGTGCATTACCCATTTTAAGAAGATTAATACTATGAGACACTCCAAAATGATGAGATCGCCAAGATCCTTCCATCCGATCTCTAATAAAAACTTTCGATCAAACCAAAAATACACCGGTGTCTTCAGCCTACTCAATCAACATGTTCAATACTCAGGAACAGACCTACTGATTGATATATCACTTGTCGTATTTTAACAATTAGAACTTGTGTAATTTAACAATGTACTTGATGTAAACAATGCTGGTTGTATTATGTAATGTTGGTGATGAATGTGTCATGTTTCATGTTATATTCTTTATGATGATTATTCAATTGTTAGTCACACAATCCCCCAGACGTTTCCGCCGTCTGGTTCGGGGGTGTGACATAATCCATTCTTCACTCCATTCATTAGATGGAGCAACACTGGTAGGATCTCGATCGGAGTGGACCTGCGAATTTTCCTAGCCGGTATGGTTGACATATAGTATCCATTTGTTCACCAAGTTGTTAGGCACAACCTTTAAGCCTTCGACTTAAGGGTAAGAGTTAGCTTCTCTCAAGGTTGGTTAGATGCAATGTTCGGCTGTAGTATCAGTGTCAGACCATATCTGTGAGCATTCGTCAACATGGTTGAGGTTCAGATGGCTTTGTATGTCTAGAAGTCACATATAGTTTCAGAGTCCTCAGATTATGGTCAGGATGTTATTTCTTCTCGGTGTGATTTAGTTGTAAGTGTTAGTGTTGTCTCTTCGTCGCATCACATATTTCTCGCTAAGGATTGAAATGGTTTTTGGTATAAGAGGGAAGTGTTTGTTTTAAGCATTGTCACAGTGCTACTGCGGTCATGAATTCGATCTTTTGGAAGATTCCGCTTGAGTTTAGTTATGCACTTGGTTTCGAGAATCATTATGTTGGTCATTGCAGAATTCTGACACTTGGAATGGCCTTGGATTATGGAAGGAGATATTTGTAAGGATTGACTTTAAGGATGAAATATAATTTAAGTGGAGAAGATTTGTAACACACGTTTCCTAGATTGGATCAATGGATAGTACACAGGAGTCAAAGGCATGGTTTTTAAGGAAAACCATATGCCACGACGTGACATGAAGGGTGTCATGATGTGGCATAGAAATTTCATATTGCGTGTTCCAGATG